GGTTCGGCCCAATGAAGATCCCTATGGTTTTTGGCAAAGATCGGTTAATATTTAGGGGATGAAATGGACCAAATACTAAATTTTTGTCTGTTTTTCTGCTCGCTCCAGAGGCTTCAATTATGGCCTAAAACATCTCGAATTTTTACATGGAGAAGGGGATTGGTCCTAAGAATACGCATGCCTATTTTGATAAAGATCGGAAAATATTTAGCGGGTCAAATGGACCCTGACTTTTGTGTGAAAAATGACAAAATTTGTATTCTATAGCGTATATATTCACTCCTGAAGGACATACACCCGCGAAGTTGATAGTATATCCAAAAGGAGTTGTTGACCTTTAAATTGATTCCAATAATATTGTCGTATGTACTCGGATGTGGGAGTTACACTTAAATATTTACGGGTGCTTACATATTTAGATATTATTTAGTAACCCATTACCCCATTAGAGGGCGGAAATATAGCGCTGATCGCTTTGAAATGTTCCATGAGGTTCTAGTTATGGTCAAGGACAATGCCTATAATTTTCGCTGATGATCAGATAATAATATTGGAATGAAGAGGACCGAAAACTTAATTTGTTTGTGTTTTTTCCAAGTCGATCTACAGGCCACAATTGAAAGCTCAACATCACAACATAACCCACGGTAAAGAGAATCTGGACAAGTACAGCCCTCGTCTACTATATTTCTTGACATCTAGTCGGTCTAGATGGTGCAAATATCTCGAAATATTGCCCAAGCTCTGAATATAGAATCATAGAAAGTTAGATTTTCGTTGAAGTTGTGTAGGGTATCATATGGTCGGCCCCGTCCGCTCACTGTTTTTTTAACTTAGTGTGTGTTTTTTAAAAAATAGACGAATTTCCAAAATAAAATAAATAAAAATTTAACCATTTTGTTAATTTTGGAGCGAAGTCAATAGTCCTAGTTCATACGAGAGCCAGACATGTACTCTTTCTAACACCCTTGAATTTCCGGATTCCGATTTTCCAGTGAGGAGTTGTCATGCAACAGTAAGGACTTTTCTTTAATCACTAAAAACAACAACAAAACAAAAACAACAAAATATTACTAATCATTTTTCTTCTCTTTTAAATATTCAATTATATATGTGTAAAGTTACAAACCTGCATTGGCATTCATTTACCAGCCCAATGAAATTTAAATTCCCCTTAAATGATCGACGAATAAAAGTCATTATGCATTTCTTGACTCGATAAACCTTTTTTATGTAAATATTTAATGACAGCACGCATTTCTAATTTTTCCATTGTAAAAGAATTGCGTATGCTTCTTTTTGGGAACACCTGTTTCTATATGAAGGAGTTCGAAAGAGATCGAAACAACATTTAAAATGTGTTCATAACAGGGATGGAAGTTTCCAAAACAATTAACTTTTTTCTGTTTTTGTGCTAGGATAAGAAGCTTTCGAGCTGCCCTCGTAACAAAATCGATGGACTTAAGGTCAATTGTCGAAAATCTTAAGTATAACATATTTTAATGAAATTTATTACCCACTAAAAACCTGTAATATACCTCCTTCGTTTGGGAAATGAGCCAAGGTCCACACAAAAATCCTACAGTGAACTAGGACCATTGTATGAACGTTTTCCAAAAAGTGAAAATAAACATTCTGTTTTCGCCAATATATTTCCTTGATGTAATAAAAATATGTCTGTAATATCGTTGTCTTAAATATCGTGACGTTTTATTGGGAAGCGACATGACCTTACGTGTACTCAAACGAATTATTTGAGTGGTTAAAACCAAATTATCATTATAATCGGGTGGGTAAACGTAGATCATATAAAATTTCCTTGACAAAACGAAGGACATTGTAACTTAATTCCAAAATACCACCTATTGTATTTCCACTTCACGTTTTGTACTTCTTTATAGGTTTGTTTATTACTGTTGGTTTCGTTGTAGTTCTTTACTACAAATGTTCGGTCATATCACCCTTCATAAAATGAATACTAAGTCGCATGTCCTTGACTTTCAATGTTCTTGAATTTCGTAATACACTTGACGAAATTTTAATTTTTTTGTTTTAGTTTGTCGTCATCAAAACCATTGAAATGGAAGAAGAAGCGTAAAAGTATAAACAAAACAACTAAAATGACATACCAAAGCATAACTATGAATAATACTCTAAATAGCGGATTAACTTGACAATTAACATACCGAAATACGTCGGGTAATTGCTACGTGTTCGGCATTTTATTGACTACAGCGATGATATGTTGTACGATGTGTATTATATGATTCCGGTAGTTTTTTATGATGTGATTTATTTATTTCACCACCATTTGATTGTAATGAATGGCTAAAATAAATAAAATAAAATAAAATATTACTTTAAAAAAATAATACAAAATATTGGTTATTACTGGAATTTAGTTAAAGAACAATTTTAAAGGACTATTATATTTATTAGCGTAGATTTTTAAAAGACAATTACAATAATGAGCGTGAATTTGTTAAAGAATATTTTTAAAGGATTGTTGCAATTACATACACTGGTGGTCAAAACTGACGCAACTAAAATTGCAAGGACAAAAAATGAATGTCAATATTTTCTTCCTACACACAGACAAACAATAGTTTTGAAACAAAAAACTGGTTCATAAATGCAGAAACTCTCGTCTGTCAGGGGTAAATTTTATTCAAGTTAAGAACTTTTTAATGCAAATTAAGGCTGTCGTCTGTCTATGGTATTAGTTTGTATTCTCGGCCGGAATATAAATTTGAGCTTCCACAGCGACACAATTATCAGTTATCACTTTGTTGAGCTAGCAACTAAAACAAATTCCCTAACTTTTCAAAAATGTTCAAATACGTAAGTTCTGGTTAAATATGGAATTGAGAAAATATGTTTTTTAACGAGATGATATATTCCCTACAGGCTGTTGTTATCTTTGCCGTTATTGCCTGTGCTGCTGCCAAGCCTGGTTTGGTTACACCATTGGCCTACACCGCCCCAGCTGCTGTTGTTTCTGCCGCTCCAGCTCCTGTCGTCACTGCCACCAGTAGCCAATTTGTAGCCCGTAACCACAACGGTATTGTCTCCGCACCAATTGTAGCCCCCGTAGCTGCACCTGTTGTCGCTAAAACTGTAGCTGCTCCCATCGTTGCTAAGACCTTCGCTGCTCCTGTTGCTGCTGCCTACACCGCTCCTTTAGCTGCTCCAGTTGTTGCTAAAACCATTGCTGCCCCTGTAGCTGCCGCTTATGCCGCTCCATTGACTTATACTGCCCCATTGACTTATGCTGCAGCCCCTGCTCCAGTTTTATTGTAAACATGGCCATATATCGAGACTGACAATGACAAATTTGAATAATAACATCTAAAAAAAACATAATTTATTAAAAAAAATATTTTTTATATTTTGTGAATGACTATCGTATGCTATGAGGCGATAACGCTTAACTGTCACACGCAAGCTTTCGCTATTTCGCACGATAGTATATAAGCTATCGGCAAAACGGCTCAATTTCGAGTTTCTGGACTTTAAAGTCGAATCCACCAAAGAAAAATGTAAAGGCGTTTCAAATATCGAGTTAAACCCATTTGCGTTGACAGAAATTTTCAAATACCATCTAAAGAGTATATCACTGTTCATAATATTTATTACCTAGGGAGAATCTAAAAAAAAAACAAATTTCAGATAAATTTCCAAATGCTCGAAATCATCGAAAATTGGGGAAAACGTTATATTGGGAATATGAAATCTCTACCAAATATTGTCGATCTTTTCCTTGAAGGCTGATTACAACAGACACGCGGAACTTAATATAGTGGGTGGAGGGCATACAAAATTTGTCAACGTAAATCGATCACTTTTCATACGGAGTTGTTTTCTTATAATCGTTAAACTACTCAAACTAAAATCGCATACATTATTTTTGTGTATAAATTTTAAATTATATTTGCTTTAAAAATTGTATGTTAATTATTTTGTTTAATTTTCGCGAAACAGATGGTATTTGTTTACGTTTTTTCACAGTGTTGATTAATGTTTTCTTACTTCCACATTCCAAAACGATTCGTTACGTGTCGACTCTCAGAATTAGAAAATTCCGAACGATCGGAATTATTTTCGATACGCAATTATTTCTCTATCGACTCCCAGCATCAGCCCCCTGACTTTAATACCAGATGTGTATATTTCGGAACTCTTTACAGTCTTCATGGTAGAGTTGGGAAGTTCCGGAACGAACTAGTTCATTGGAACTATTCCGAGAAAGGAACGATCGGAACTAGTTCCAGCTCTTTAATTAATATAGTTCCTTTTTCTTATCTCGTTCCTTTTTGATATCGTTGTTTTTTCTTTTCCTTTTTTGTGTTCTTTTATTTCTGATCTCGTTATGTTATCATTTTTGCACAATTTTCAATTTTTGCATTTATTAACAAATTAAAACGGAACTATGTGAGCGGAAAATGGAGCAAAGGAAATATATGGATCAAAGGAACTATATGGAGCAAGGAAACTATATTGAAAAAAAAAAACGAAAAAAAAAACAAAAAGGACGTTGAAAGCGAGTGATTCAAAGGAACTATATAGGAGTCGGAACTATATGGAGCAAAAGAACTGTATGGAGTAAATCAAGTATATGGAGCAAAGGAACTACATTAAAGAACTAGTTCCTTTTTGAAAAAGGAACGAGAAAGATCGATCCGCTACATGAACTAGATGGCCCAACTCTACTTCGTGGAAGTTTTATGTGTGTATTTTACGAAATTTATATCAAGGATGCATTCATAAAAGTTTATTTAAAAGTTTGAAAAGACATCAATGGTATATTAAGTCTTTCTACATACCCATTTGTTATTAGTCCTTCGTGGTATAATTTCAACCCGCTATTTAACATGATATCCTACGATCTGAATTTGTACCATATTTAACAAAAGAAAATTATTTAAAAGACAAAATAGAGTTTTGTTTAATAAATTAATTTTTTCTAGTTTATTGATCAAATTCACAATGGCCAGTCAGGGTTAAGGTATTGTCAAATTATTTACAACAAAACTGGGGCAGCAGCATAAGTCAATGGAGCAGTGTATGACAATGGAGTGGCATAAGCAGCAGCTAGCAGCAAATGTCTTAGCCACCAAGGGAGCAGCAACAGTTTTGGCAACGACAGGGGTAGCAACGGGAGCAACAATTGGTGCGGAGACAATACCATTGTGGTTACGGGCAACAAATTGGCTACTGGTGGCAGTGACGACAGGAGCAGGAGCGGCAGCAACAACAGCAGCTGGGGCGGTGTAGGCCAATGGGGTAACCAAACCGGGCTTGGCAGCAGCACAAGCAATGATGGCAAAGATAACAACAGCCTGTAGGGTACATATTGTAAAATTAAACAAAAATCCTTTTTTTAATTCAATATTTCGGTCGAACTTACGAATTTGAACATGTTTGAAAAGTTAGGGGATTTGTTTTAGTTGCTAGCTCAACAAAGTGTTAACTGATAATTATGTCGCTGTGGAAGCCCACATTTATATCCCTGTAAACAAACAATGATGGATTGAACATCACATTCAATGACTTTCATATGTTTTGTTGTTGTTGATAATAACATAACGACAAACCAAAATTTCGTGGACTTCTTCATTAATTACTAAAATGCTACACAAACAATATAAAGTGTGCGCAGAGAATTTATAATTATTTTTATTTAGAGTATTTGTTGCGGTGTATAGCCATTCTACACGTAGATTTTAATCGATTTTTTTAAGAATTTTTTGGACGGTCTATAACAGCTATAAGTATTTAATTTACAAGAACTATCACAACTATAATATTATTTAACAGGGACTATCACAGACATAAACGTTTTACACCGACTATCACAACTAGACCCACCTTTAAGTATACCGATCGCCATATCTCGACTAGCTGAGTCTATCTAGACATGTGTGTCCGCCCGTCCGTCTGTCCATTATAATTTGTAAACACGATACAGGCCACGGTTATGGACCAATCTTCACGAAATTTTGCATGTAGGATGTGTTCGGCCAAATGAAGACTCCTATTGTTTTTGGTAAAGATCGGTTAATATTTAGGGGATGATATGGACCAAATACTTAATTTGCGTCGGTTTTTCTGGTAGCTCCAGAGGCCGCAATTATGACCCAATCATCTCGAAAAAATATAAAATATAAATATTTACAGGTGCTTACGTACTCATATATTATTAATTATTAAACCAATACCTAGAGGGCGGAAATATAGCTCTGATCGCATTAAAATGTTCCATGAGGTTCCTCTACAATTTTCGGTGATGAACAGGTAATAATTTTGGGATGAAGTGGACCGAAAACTCATTTTTCGTGATTTTTTCGATTCAATCTACAATTATAAGCCGAACATCGCACGGTGAAGGGCATATGGACAAGTAATTACCCAGGTCCGAAATAAAAATCCGCAGAAAGATAGAGTTCTATGATAGTTGTGTATGGTATCGTATGGTCGGCCCCGTCTCCGCTCACTGGTTTTATTTTTGTAAAGGCCATTTAACAAGGATCACAGCTATAAACGTGGATATTTTAAAGGATATTTAACAAGGTCTATCAAGGCTAGCATCGATTTTTTAAAGACTACAAGAGTGTATTTTAAGAGGCTATTAAAGATATAAATTTGTATTTTTAAAGAATTGTTTAAAAGGATACTGCAGTATTAAGAGTGGAATTTTAAAAGAAAATTGTTTAAAAAATCTGTTTTTTATTAATGATGATTTTGTTTTAGAAAAACAACAAACTGGGAGTAAGCACTTTTTAAGGGCTTAAGTGCTTAGTCCTGATTTATATTAGGCGAGTTTACTTGCGGCAATTATTATCGTTCCCTTTTGAACTTGCTTCATGCGTCTATACAAGGCAATTCGGTTTCAAGAATATTTCTGTTTTCATTTGATGTCAAAAGTTTTTTTCACATTTAAATAAATATAAAATGTCAACAAATACGAATACACAAAACGAATTGCCAGAAAATTGTCGGTACGAGCAATTTTTTTCCATTTCTATTCCCCTTGCCCCTCTCTCCTAAAGTCAAAGACTTGCCGCAAGTAAACTCGCCTAATCTAAATTGGGACTTACTTTTTAATAATATTTCTTCTAAACTCCAAACACAAAGTGTTCACATTATTGTTGTTGGTGTTTAATAAATGTCGAACACCAATAAAAACGTAAAATAAAATAATTATGCGTCGAAAAAAATACCCAAAATTATACTAATTAGAAATTCCTGACGCATGCTTGTTTTATTTTATTTTTGGTAGCATTTTAGTAATTAATTAACAAATAAGTAAAACCGCGGGATTTTAGTAGATTTTGTCGTTTAACTTACCAGCGAAAAAATTCAAAAACATTTAAGTAAGTCATTGAATGTGACATTCAATCTACATTTGTTTGTTTCTATTTTCTACCGGAATATAAATTTGAGCTTCCACAGTGACAGAATTATCAGTTATCACTTTGTTGAGCTAGCAACTAAAACAAATCCCCTAACTTTTCAAACATGTTCAAATTCGTAAGTTCAATAGAAATATTGAATTGCAAAAAAGGATTTTTGTTAATTTTTTAATATGTTCCCTACAGGCTGTTGTTATCTTTGCCGTTATTGCTTGTGCTGCTGCCAAGCCCGGGTTGGTTACCCCATTGGCGTATACCGCCCCAGCTGCTGTTGTTGCTGCCGCTCCAGCTCCTGTCGTCACTGCCACCAGTAGCCAATTTGTAGCCCGTAACCACAACGGTATTGTGTCCGCACCAATTGTTGCCCCCGTAGCTGCCCCTGTTGTCGCTAAAACTGTTGCTGCCCCTATCGTTGCCAAGACTTTTGCTGCTCCCGTTGCTGCTGCCTACACCGCTCCTTTAGCTGCTCCAGTTGTCGCTAAAACCATTGCTGCCCCAGTAGCCGCCGCTTATGCTGCACCATTGACCTATACTGCCCCATTGACTTATGCTGCAGCCCCAGCTCAAGTTTTGTTGTAAATGTATCACATATCAAGGCTGACAATGACAAATTTGAACAATAACGATTAAATAAAAATATAATTTATTTAAAAAAAAATATATATTACGTTTTTCACATATTTTGAATGAATATTTCGGCGCCACAATACCAACAAATCTATACATATAAAATAGAACAAAATGTGTTTGTTTGTATGTTACCGATAGACGCCAAAACCGCTGAACAAATGAGATTTACACTGTATGTCAGGGCATGCCCTGAAAGTAACATAGGCTATATAAACGTTTAAATTTCCGCGTGGATGCGGAGTTATAGCATCAATAGTAAACATACCTCAAAATTTCTGAACATGTAATATGCGTTTATCTTAAGAACGGTTACAGATACCGTTTTCAAAATTTGCCTGTATAACGAAGGTGTGGATACACACCATCCATACAAAAATGAGCATAGTACGATCTACGGAAAATGCACTTTTTACTGCATTTTAAAAACCAGCATATTGAACATTGAAACTATTTTGTTTGTAGACTCTAAAAATGCTTAAAAGATTTGACAGCTATGCTACATAAACTTCAAAGATTTCCCGAGGATGCGGTGTTATAGCATATATACACCTCAAATTTATGCACCTCAAAATTATGAACATGTAGTTTGTGTATATCTTAAGTACGGTTACAGATACCGACTTCAAACTATTCTGAGTAACGTGAGTGTAAATACGCATCATCCACACAACATGACCGCGGATAAGGGAAAATGCACACATCATTGCATTTTAACATGTACGTAGAAAATAGAAAACATATTGTTTGTGGACTCAAAAACCACTAAACAAATTTTACTAAAATGTCTATAGTAAGTCAAGCGATCCCATGAAAGTAACATAGGTTAGATGAGATTAATAGCAGCAAAATTATTCATACATTTGAAAGAATGTACATATGTAGAACATGTTCTATGGGTATATTTTAATGTAGCGGCTTGAAAATGTGGTTGAGTAACATCGGATACAAATACTCATCATCCGATGAGGATATATTTCCGAACGATGAGGATATATTTTGAAATACATACATATGTACATACATGGACATATGTATACTGAAATAAAAATTGT